CACCCCCACAGAATGTCTCTGGTCTATGGTTGTTCATTATTTTTGTTATTTTCTCGCCTGGTCCATTATACTCCTGCTATGAGGGTTTCATCCATTTTTATGGCAAATATTAGACCTTTGTTCTTTTTGGTTGCTGAATACTATTCCATTATATGGATAGGCCACATTTACTTATTTATCCATTCATGAGTTGATGGACATTGCATTTGCTTCCACTTTTTAGCTTCTATGAATAATGCTGCAAAGAGTATTTGTGTTCAACAATTCTTTGTGGACATATATTCTTATACTCTAATTTTGCTAGAAGTAGAATTGATGAGTCCGTTGGCAATTCTAGGTTTCACCTTTTGATGAAATGTGAAGTTATTTTCCAAAACTACTGCACCACTTGATAGTTCCAGCAGCATTAGATGAGGGTTTCAATTTCCCTACATCCTCACCGTGCATGTTATTACTTGTCTATTGACCTTAGGCATCTCGTTGGTATGAAGTGACATGTCTGTAGTTTTGAGTTTCATTTCCCAGTACTTAATGATGCTGAGCATATTTTCATGTCCTTATTAGCTGTTTGTATGTTTTTTTTTGTGTGTGTGAGAAATATCTATTCAAATCCTTTGTCTAAATATATATATATTTTTTATTGGGTTAGTTGCCTTTTTATTGTTGGATTGTAAGAATTCTCTACATATTCTGGATGGGTGATCTTGGCCTCTTGCCAAGCCTCACTTACCTCATTTATAAGATGGGTTAGTACCATCCACTTCACCAGGATCTCTTGGGGCCTCAATGAGACATGCTACAACATCATCAAGCTTGAAGTCTGTTGCAGGGAGGCTCTCGCAAAGGCTTGGGTCAATTAAATATGAAAGGCATGAGGAATGAGAAAAATTAGAGTCATGGTTTAAGAGAGATAGATCGTCCACACTGTAAGCCTGGCTGGCTCTTCTGCCAAGAGTTTCCATGAGCCGGGCCGGCCAGGTCTGAGAAAGAAGGGGGAGTTGACTAGAAAAGAATTGGCTTTGAGGGAGAGCATGGCCTGGTGGTACCAGGGCATCTGACTTGCACAAGACTAAGGTTCAATCCAAGCTTTAGATCTGGTCAACTAAGGTTCTTGGCTCATTGCATAATAATCAGGAGCTCACTCTCTCGCTCCCTCAGCTCCCTATTCCATTCCAATCTCCCTCTCTTTGCCAAAACATCCTCTCCACAGACTTCCACTTTTTCTATGTCCTTGACAAGACTTTCTGCTCTATCTTCCCTCACTGAGCCACTCTGCAGCTGCTCCAGCCCCTCCTCTCACAAGGCTCCTCACTTCCACCTTGGAACCATCACTCCCTCCTTGGGGCAGCTGGAGGGAGCATCCTAAAACAGCAAAGAGAGCTATCACCAGTGTTCACAGCCCTTCACAGGAACCACCTCTTAGGAATAAAGTCCAAATCCTTCTCTAGTCTCAAAGGTAGGTCAAAGTTTTAGGGGACTTAACAGGGTTTTCATTGAAGTATAACATGCATACTATAATCGCCTATCTCCTAAGTGTGTGACTCATGAATTTCCCCAAACTGAATATTGCCATGTAAACTGGCACCCCGTGGGCCCGCCCTGATGGCACAACAGGTTAAAGCGCAGCATGGCCAGCAAGCTGTAGCCGCTTCAGTGCAAGTTCAAACTCCAGCCCCAGAGCTGACCCACAGGGCGCGGCAGACCTCTCCTGACTCATCCACTGCTCCCCTCAGCAGTGTACTTCATTGACCTGCCTGTTCTGCTCCCTGATCTCTCTCTGGTGAAGCCTCTCACCGCCCCTGCTCCTCTGGCCCGCACCTCCTTCTGTATGCATAAAGAAATAAATCTTTAAAAATAAATAAATAAATAGAACTGGCACCCTGTTCAAGAATCAAACTGTCGCCAGAACCCCAGATGCCTCTCCACATGCCCCTTTCCAGTTCATAAAGATGATCACTATCTTGGCTTTTAACCTTACAGATGACTTTTTCCTGCTGTTGAATTAATTCCTATGAATAAAGAGTGAAACTTTTGCCTGGCATCTTTCTGAGATTCAAGTAGTTATATTTTGTTCTTCTCATTCCTATACTATTACTTTGAATGATTCTACCAATTTCTATATCCAACCCACAGTGTTGAACTCTTAAGTTGTTCCCAGCTTTGGGATATTATGGAAGAGAGCTTCTGTGAACATTCTTGCACGTGTCTCTGGGAGGACATATGGGCTTATTTCTGTTGGGTAAACATCCAGGAAAGGAATTGCTGCCTCATAAGGATACATAAATGCTCAGCTTTAGAAGATACTGCAAATAGTTCTCAAAGCAGCCATTCCAATTCACAGTCCCCCACCCCCGCTGCATCTGAAAATCCTTGTTGTTCCACATCTTCACTGCCGATTTAAATATATATTTTTTGCTTTTTCATTTTAACCATTCTGGTGAGTAGGCTGTGCTGACATTGTGGATCCAATTTGAATTTTGGGGGAGCATCTATAACAAAAAGAATATAAAGTAAGATTATGAATATAAAATTAGGAACAAAATGAATATTTACTGAGAATGTGAAAATCATAATGAAGTGGTAGAGACTTCCAAGCTTAGATTCCTTTCTTCTGAGAGTTCTGGAGACTATTTCCCAGAAATGCTTCAGTTGAAACGCTTTTATATACCCACCTGGCCCCACTTCCTGCCTGCAATACTTAACAGCTGCCCGCCAACCTGAGCGTGTGAGGCCGGTCCATGCACTTGAGGCCCCGAGGTTCAACTGGCTTCCTAGAAGTGCAACGCTGCCCGACCTCACCCACCTCTGGCCCTGCCCACCCTAACCCTTTCCTGGCCCGAGTCCTCCCTCTGAGAACCTTAGCTTCCCTTTTACCTTCTCTGAGATCTTCCCTCTTGTATCGGAAGAGCCTCTCATTTTTATAACTCCATGTCATGAGACAGTTAAGAACAGAACAAGTGGTTAAGAGTAATTGCTCCAGCTGACCTGGATTTTCTAACTGCGTGACCTTGGACCCCTGTCATATAACCTCTGTGGGCCTCAGTTTCCTCACCTGTAGAGCAGAGGATTATTCCAGTTTCTACAGCATAAGGCGTCGTAGTGACCAGTGGACAAATGCAGGAGATGCATCTTGCTCAGATTGTCACCTCGGCCCCATCATCCTCGGCCTTAATCCTTCCTCCCTGCACATCTCACTTTGAAGGTCTCACATCTGCTCCCCTGCTCTATAGGATGGGTCTGCTGCCTTGGTGACTGCTGTTCCCTGGGGCTAACGCAGTGCCTGGCCTTCAGGACGGGCCCAGAGTCAGTTTCCTCTGTGTAGTCCACGCAGACATCAACGAGCCATGGTCAGACCCTCATGCAGGCCCCCCCCCACCCCCAGCCAGGCTGCTGAATGTTAGCAAGGACTTTCCACAATATGCTGATGTGCCAGGAGAACCAGAAGTTAAGCAGCTGGCTGCGGTCCAGGAAGACATCACAGAAAGGCAGGATTTTGAAGACTGAGTAAGGGTTCTGTAGGTGGAGATGATGGTAAATTTTCTGAGCAGGGGAAGTAGTGGTAAGTGCTCAACTCCAACGCTCTGCCAATTGCTCACCATGTCTGTCTTTTTCGGGAGACTAGAAGCCTGAAAATGCTACTTTCCAGAGCCAGCTGGTTTCTGGTTGGAGTAAGCCAGTGAGGGGGGGGAGCGGGGGGGGGCAGGCAGGGAGATGAGATTATGTGCTCCTGTGGCTGGAGCGGGCTCTGCTGGTCCTGGCAGCTGTGGCCCGGGGCGCACTGATGGAGCCCCAGAAGCTGCTCAGACTGTCCAGGGCTGCAGCTGTGGCTGTGTTCCGCCCTTTCTCCTTTCTTTGTTCATGCACTTCACATACCTCTGTAGCAACGCTTCCTTATCTGCTCCCTCTCAACCCGAAATAGCAGAGCCGGTCCTGTTAGCAAATTGATAAAAGTTTCAGGCCAGAACCAGGTGTACCAGTTCAAGGTATCAGTATACAGAAAATGGGATCTGTTTTCAATTTGATTTTCTAGCTGCATATCTTCTTCTTTTTTCTTTTTTAAGATTTATTTATGAATACAGAACTGGGGTACAGGCCAGAGGTAGAGGGACCGTGAGAGGCTTCACCGGAGACAGAGCAGGGAGCAGAACAGGCAAATTGATGAAGTACACTGCTGAGGGGAGCAATGGGTGGGACAGGAGAGGTCTGCCATGCCATGTGGGTCAGCTCTGGGGCCGGGGATTGAACTTGCACTGAGGCAGCTGAGGCCAGCTTGCAGTGCTGGGCCAACCAGTTGGAGGGTCTCTGACTGCATATCTTTTTTTTTTTTTAAAGATTTATTTATTTGTGCATACAGAACTGTGGTACAGTCCCGATGCTCAGGGGCGGTGAGAGGCTTCACCAGAGACAGAGTGGGGAGTAGAACAGGCAGATCGAGGAAGTACACTGCTGAGGGGAGCAGCGGGCGGGTCAGGAGAGGTCTGCCACACCATGTGGTCACCTCCGGGGCAGGCGGGAATCGAACTCATGCGGAAGTGGCTTTAGCTTCCCAGTGCTGTGCTTTAACCCACTGCGCCACCAGGGAGGGCCATGACTGCATATCTTTTAATGTGAGTTTTCTGAGGACAAAGACTGTCCAATTAGCACACATTTATCAAAGCTTCATCAGTGAGGAAAAAAGAGAAATGCTCCTAGAACTATAGTCTATACCTCTGCCCCCTGGTACGGTACCTGGGAGTCACCTGTGGCTACACCTCGTCTGAATTGAGTTGGGCTGTCTGTGTAAAATACTCATTTCAAAGACTTCCTGTGAGAATGAGAATGTAAAATATATCTTGCTAAATATTTTTAATTGATTACATATTGAGCTAATATTTTGGAAATACTGTGTTCAATAAAAATACTTTATCAAAGCCTACTTCACCTAATTCTTTTTACTCTCTTTAATGTGGTCACTGAAAAATAAAAACTTCCACGGACAGCTTGCATTTGCAGACTACTGGACAGCTAGACTTCTGGGAGTTGAATTGAAACACACTGATTTACCAAATCAGCATTGATCAGTATTTATTGAAGAGCTACTTGGTGACTGTAGTTGGGTCTCTCAGGTTGGGAGGGGCCAAATAGACTAACACGGAGCTAAGTGGTTAAGTTGGCCCATGTTCCACTGCTCATCCACAGCAGAAATCTAGGAGGGCTTCACAGAGGAAGCCACTTTTGTGTCAAGCATTGAATGATAAGCAGGTGCTCCAGGCTCAGAGAACCACATTGCTAGGAAGTTAACCAGGGCACACAGGGCTCTGGGAAGGATACAGTGATTCACTGTTGGTTTGAGGAAGAGGCAGGCAAGGGATCCAGACTCTGTGGCTCTCTGGATGACAGTTTGGCCCTGGGTCTGGATCTGAGACCCTGGAAAGGCTTAGGTGGGACAATGTTGGTCCCAGGGTGAGTGAGTTCACCCACCCCGCGCCTTGAAAGCAAGAAGATCGGACCTTGTCTGAATGTGAAAAATAAACTCTTTTATTTCAGTGTTTGCTCTTTGTGGCTCAAAAGCATCTACTATTGCTCAAAAGCATTTATAAACCACGGAAAAATAAAGCTATATTTATATAGAACATACACGTCGGCTCATTTTGTGATCCTTCTCTGTGCAAAGCAGGAAGTTCTACGTGCATCAGCATGACTTTCCCCAAAAAGTCTCTGGGGTTGGGGGGACCCTGGAGATGACCCCAGCCCAGATAAAGAATTCTCCCCTTTGCTCTCTTTCAGACCAAGGAAGCCCAGTCAGGTGGGAGGTACAAGTCAAGAGATGACTGTGCATGGGCTTCCTGAGCTTATCCCAGGCAAGGGCTGTGTCCAAGGACCCCGCTCTGTGACAGCAGTGGCAAGGCACTACCCTGTGGGTTAGTGACCAGCTGAGGCAGCTAAGGCTTCTGTGAAGTCTAGGCATTGTGGTGGGTAGGCTCATGGGGAGAATAGGGGTCTCCAGGACTGGCTTCTGGGGGTCTGAAAGATGTCTGAATTCAGGTAGGGTATGTGGACAGGGCTGGGGTGGGCAGGTGGTCATGGTCATGGTTGCATGCTCAGAAATATGCTGGACCTGTGATCGATCTAAGGCTCTATGGAGCTAGGAGTAGGACTTCTATAATTTTCAAGGCTGGGTCACATAGCATAAAAGGGCAGAGCTGGGAAGGCCTCAGAGAGGAGCTGGTTCAACCCCTTCTTTGGCCTGGAAACTGAGGTCCAAAGAGGGGGAGACAGCAGCTGTTGGACTTGCTAGAACCCTGGGCTTGGACCCTTCCACTTTCTACCCACCTCCTGTCCCAACCAGGTTCTTTTGGGTCAGTTCCCAGCTGATCTCTCTGGCATCCTCAGCTCAGGGATGGTATCACTGGGCTCAGAATCAGAAGACCTGGGCTCCATTCCTGCACCTTCACCTGACTTGTGCAAAGACCCACCAGCTTTGTGCTGCGAAGTGGGCCACCCTTCTCTGGGCGCCTCAGCCTCCTCATCAGGAAAGCAGCTCTCACTCTGCAGGTTCTTGCAATGATGAAATGGGTTGGTGGCCAAGTGGGCACAAGAAAGCTCAAGAAGCAGGGACATAGTAGGTGTCTCACAATGGTGAAGTGGCTGGGGGGTTTTGGGCCAGGACTGCTGGGATGGGGCAGGAAGCCTGGGCCTGGTCTATTGTTGGGCCTCTTCTCATCAACACCTGGGCACCCAGGCACAATGTGGGGAAGGGGAACAGAACTTTCTAGGGAGCTGACTTCCTTGATTTAGTCAATGGGGAGCACTATCTCACCCTCTATCTCACTTGCTCCAAGAAAGGCTGGGCCTTCCTCCCCATCCCAGGCCCAATGCTCCCATAGGGAGGCACAGAACACTTCACAAGTCAGGGGGGTGAGGACCAGGCTCAGGGGGACAAGATGGGCCAGAAGCACATTCTATTCCAAAGAACCCCAATGGCGTCCTACACCAGCTCTGGGGTCTGGGCCCAAGGAGGGTCAAATTTTCTCATTAGTTTGGGACAAAGATTGCGATCAAGGTGGGGGCTCTCAGCTGCTTAGGTTGGGGCTGGCACTGGGTCCCTTAGGAAGGGCCAATGATGACATTCCGGAAGCCCTTCACAGACTTCAACTTGTCGCTCTCGAAGTTCACGACCAGCTTGTGGCGGCCCACGAGTCGCGGCATCAGGTCCACCCTGACCTTGACTTCCTCCCCTGCTTCCACAGGGTTGGGGCTGTGGAGATAGATGGGGAAGAAAGTGAGAATGGGGACCCTAGTCTGGTCCCCTGGGATGGGGTCAAGCCAGAAAGATGGTGGCTCCTGAGAGCTTGGAGCAGAGATCCATGGATACCAAAGACTGTGCTCAGAGGACCTGAGCCATCTGCCTCTATGTGTTCTGGGACATGTATGCGTGTGTGTGTTTGAACACGTTTGTGTGCACGTACATTGTGTGCTTAGGGGTGAGTGGGCTTACTCAGGTGACCCCATGGGAGACAATGCATTGAGCTGTCCACACATGATCTATGTCCTAGATATAAATACAATAAAAAAGTGAAAAATAAGAAGTGTGGATACTCATGCGTGTTCACACATGTACACATGTACCCATAAAGACACAGCTGCTCATGGCTGCCTGTGTTTATGTGGGGACCCAGGGTTGGGAGGCAGGTGCCCTGGGATTGGATGTGTAAGTGTTCAGGGGAAAACAGTGCACAGAATGCAGCCAACTGGGAGTGGTCCCTGAGCTGAGGGCGTGGTCCCTGAGCTGAGGGCGTGGCCACTGATCTGTGGGCGTGGTCCCTGATCTGTGGGCGTGGTCCCTGAGCCATGCAGGGTGGGGCTCGGCCCCAGGCGTATCAAGTAGGTGTGTGAGAGATGAAATGAGGTTATGACCAAGCAGGAGGTGGCAGTACTTACATCTCCACGGTCTTCTGCTCCTCGGTCAGGCCTGCCCCCTCCACGGTAAAGATGCAGCCCATCAGGGGCACGTTAAGTGGGTTCCGCAGGGATACCTCAGCCACCAGTTTGCGGTGCTGCTTGGGCTCGCCCAGGATCTGGAAGAGGGCATGGGAAGACTGAGGGAGAGGGGCCCAGGGCCCCTAAGGCAAGCAACACCTGGTGAGCCATGTCGTATGTGCTGCTCTCTGGCTCAGCATTTGTGGAACAAAACATGCCGGGCTCTGCCACTATCACGCTCTGCGCATCGGTTTCCTCATCTGGAAAACATGGATGAAGATGCCTGCCCCAGCTTCCTTCATAGACTGGACCTGCGACGGCGTCTCCTCTGTGCCTGTTTATGCACTTGTAAGATGGGGTTAGCGGTAGCATCTGGGTGTGTTGTAAGGGTCCCTGCACCCACGGGGAGCATTCACTAAGGGTGGACTCTAATTATCATCAGCACCACAACAATTCCCTTGGAAAAACCACAGCCTCAGAACCCCTACAACAGCAGGTTCAAATAAACAGTAATCTGTGGAGGAGGAGAGCGTGAGGGCCATGTGCCAGACATAGGGGCTCCCACATTTTGCTCATGGAATCCTCATGACATGCCTGTGGTCAGGCCCATCATTCCCATGGTGAAGCCAAGAGGGTGGTGAGATCTCCTGGGGCGGGGAAGGGGCAGAGGTCAGCCTGGCTTCCCAGCTGTGACTTTCCACTCCAGGCCCTAGAACCAAGGAGGCGTCTTCCACAGCCCCTGGGTCCTGTGGGACCCCGCTGAGCCAGGCAATGGGACTCAGACTCTATGTCCTTAACACCTCCAACTTTTCTCTTTCTCCAGTGTTCCACAGGGCGTGGAGATCCAGCCTTAGGAGTTTTGCTTTTAAGGGCCCAGGATTCCCAGATCCTTAAATCCCATGGCCCTATCACTCTGGGATTCTAGCATTCATTCCAGAAGCTACGAGTCCCACATTCTCTCACTTTTCTTAAGACATCAACGATCTTGAAGCTGCAGGCATGTCGATGTGCACACGCATGGAGCCTGTCCTGGGACCCCCTGCTCCACTCTCTTGCCTGGCCTGCCTGCCCCTTACCCGGATCTTGATTTCTGGATTCTCCAGGTAGATGTCCCGCTCGGCCAGCACGTAGTTGCTGGTAGCCTGGTCCATGAGGAGGCCCCGCACCTTGATGAGGTTGGACTCCGTCAGACACTCAGAGTACTTCTCATAGAGGATGCGAAGGGGAATGCTCTTCTCTGCAGGGGGGAGAGGGCAGGTGCTCATGAAGGTGCAACCATCACTTCTCCTCCTGCAGCCTGGAGCCACAGCGAGGGCAGCACACAGGTGGTGAATGGCTGGACAGTCTTTGTTCCACCTGCCCTGGCTCTGGAGTTCCTGGGGGCAGCAGGGGAGAGAGGCTGAACCCCTGGTTGGGGACGGCTGAACCCCTTGGGGAGGCCTGGGGCTCCAGTAGGCTGAACCCCTGGTCGGGGAGGGCTGAACTCCTCCGGGAGGGCTGGGGGTGCAATAGGCCCCCAGCCTCTGCTCTTTGTAACATGAGATGCCATGAGGATAGATACTGACTGGTGATTCTGGGCAAGTCACTTAACCCACAGGATCTCAAGGGTTTCTTCTTTTCTGCTCTGTTGTCCAGGACACCCAGCACCCGCCACACAGAACTAAGACCAGCGCAAAGTCACAAGTGGGGAGAAGCTGTTAGCAGGGCCAGACTCTTTCACCGCAGAGAGCCAAATGGGACTTTTAGCCCCACTTTCCAGACAAGGACACTGAGGCCGAGAGCTGAGGTCAGGGAGGAGATGGGGGCTGGGACGCCTCAGAGCGGCACCAGGCCCTGGATGTCCACTCCATCAGAGAAGCTGGCCCATCCCTCCTGCTCCTCAGGCTGCCCTGCCACATGGAGCCTCCAGGGGCCTTCTCCCGGCCCACCACTCCTCTCTCTCCCAGTGCCTCCCATGGCGGGAGGTGCTGCCTCCTCTTCCCCAGCATCTGTTCCCTCCTGCCCCTCCCACAGGCCAATGTTTCTCAAACTCCAGCCACCCATGTGGCTTTACCAAGCCTGTTCATGATTTGTTCATTTTTCTTTCTTTCCACTCATTTTATATTTTTTAACATTTTTTTGTTTAGGGAAACTTTTCATCATTCTATGTAGCAAACCAGTCTGTCTCATGGACCATAAATAGAAAGTAACGGGTAAAAATAAATAGCAGCCAACAAAGTCATGCTTATTCATTTCTGGCTAGATGGTCTTGTCCGCTGAGACTCAGTTGCAGAGACCTGTGTTTGCCATTCAGGAGGGTCATTAGCAAGGGTCATCAGCACCCTAGAGATGGTCTCTGTGGGGTCAGCCCAAGGCCTGTGAGAGCCCCATCAGTCCCTTGTGGCACAGCTTCCCCTAGCCTGTTAGTTTTCCTCATCTCAGGGCACTGTCCACAGCAGAAGAGGGTCCCTCCTTGCCCCGGAGACCATGAAGGTCCTGGCCTGCTGGAGAGGGGAGGGGGGCAGGGGCCTCCCTGTGTGTGAGCTTCAGGCTGGCATGTGGGGTCATCCAGGATTTCCTATAGGGGCTCCAGTGACAACATGGAGGGGTGAGGGAGGAGAGACAAAGAATGCGGTGGCACGGGGGAGGGGCCCGCGGTCTGTGGGGGACTCGGCCCCTTCTCATCAGCTGAGGCAGGGTCTGGGCCTTCCCTACACGTGTGGTCCGAGCCTCCTTCTTGGAAACAGCTGCTCTAGCATCCTCTGGCCTTTTGTCCGCAGGGTGGGTCTGCTCCCACCTCTGTTCAGATAACATGGGGAGAAGAAAACCAAATATTTGCTCAAAAGGAGTGAAAATTCCTAGGTCAACCCTGGTGGGACAGAGTGGAAACTCTGACCAGCTCCACAGGAAAGAAGGAGAACATTGTCCTCCAGCCGCTTGGAGGATGTGGCCCCAAATGTTGACTTTTCCAGGAGGCTAAGGCCAGGGTGGGGCTGGACCTCTGTGCACTGCTGTCCACAGGCCAGGGACCATGGCCTTGGCCGGGGGCCCAACTGCTGGTTGTTGAGGGAGCAGGAAATGTATGTGGTCATTCCTTGGATGATTTACCCAGCTCTTAAAGGAACCTAGGATTGATCGCCATGCCGTGTTGGCTGCGTTTCCAGTGACCCACCTGGAGGGGTGAGGGAGGAAAGAGAAAGTATGGGGGGCATGGGGAAGGGGAAGAGGCAGAACAGCGGGGAGGCAAGGGTGGCGGCAAAGGGATCCTGTTCGTCAGGCCTGGGCCTGGCTTCCTGTCCATCAGTACATGGAAATCCCCCAGATCTTATCACCAGAAGATAATAAGCAACTCAGCCCAAGTGCAGGGTCTCAGAGGGTGAAAGCCTCCATCTCAGGTTAAACCTGGTCCAGAGTCCCTATGGGATATCCTGGACGACCCCACGTGCCAGCCTGAAGCTCACACACAGGGAGGGCCCCTGCCACCCTCCCCTCTCCAGCAGGCCAGGACCCTCATGGTCTCCGAGGCAAGGAGGGACCCTCTTCTGCTGTGGACAAGTGCCGGGAGTGGGGGGGTGGAGAGGAAAACTGACAGGCTAGGGGAAGCTGTGCCACAAGGGACTGGATAAGGTAGAGAGACCAGGCTATGGCACTGGGCATGCCGCGATGCCCACCTGACACAGGCAGGCTCTTAAGAACCTGAAGGCCATGTCCCTGTGCCAGCCTGTGAGGCCACGGTTCAGATAGCAGCAATAATGGGGAGGAGGCAGACTGGCTTGATAGACAAGAGCAGAGCAGAGGGAGAGCAAACAGACTCTAAACACGGCTGTTCCTGCCCTGGGCGTCTCCATCCCCTCTGCGTTCACAGGCTAGGTCCCGGGTATTGAAGGCCGACTGTGTACTCAGGCTCCTTCCTGAGGGTCAGCGCCACATTTTTAGGCCACAATTCAGGACTCGCCGGTGGCCAGTAGTGGCCACAGGAACACAGGACCTTACCACTGAAGGGCTCCAGGGGAAGTTCGAGGATGTGGTTGGAGCCACATTCTGGCCCCAGGATCCCGTTGTAGCTGACAGTGCGGGCGCAGAGCAGGAGGCGGCAAAGATGGTCCTCGGCGGTGTTGTTGGTAATGAAGGCAAAGACGTCGAAGTCGCTGCCCATGTTCATGCTCTCGGCCACACGGATCCGCATGGCCAGCCCTGTCTGCTCTTTATCAGCCAGCTTGTTCAGGTGGTTGGCCCTCTGGAAGGCTTCCCTTTCCTCTGGGGAGCCTGAAGGCGAAAGGAAGAGAGCTTCACCTTGGCTGGCATAGAGACCAAAGAAAAGGAAGCCAGAGCAGGACAAGCTGGGCTTCTCAGAGTCCCAGTGACCCAGAGCAACCCTGAAGGAGCCCCTTCTTTCGGTGTCAGGATGAAAGCAGATCTTATTTACTGTCCACAAGCGAACTCCTCTACATCCCTCAAGACCCTGTCCCAATAACCCATCTTCTAGGCAGCTTTCTCTGACCACTGCTTTCCCAGGATGTACGAGTCACAGCATCGCCTCAAGTTTCACAGCTGCCTATTGCCTACCCTCTTGTTGTTTTTAACTCACCAGACTGTTTTCTGTTCATGTACTTACTCTCTTGAACTGCTTAAAGACTAAGCTGCACTTTATTTGTTGTTATGTTGCATGCAATGCCTTCAGCAGTGTCAGTTACATAGTAGGCACTAATACAACTCAAAATTCTCTCTCCCCCATGAGTTTGCACAGGATTACTTCTACCTGTAAGCCTTTCTCTCCCCTTCACACCATTTCAGCTCTGCAGCATGAATGACTGCTTCTTTCTTTATATTCTATTTACCCCTCTTCTGTGTTCCTTTGATAGCAACACAGCCTCCCCTCCCCCACACCCAATGTTGCTGGATATATATCTGTTTCTTCTATCAAACCATCAGCTTCAGACCTTTCTGAGGCCAGGGAAAGCATCTTTTGCTTCTGTTTCATCCTTTCCTGCCAGACCTTGGCAATAAAAAAAAGGGAACTTGCCTCGCCACAGTTGTAGATCCCTTCACTGATAAAAGCTGTTATTAAACATCATAATTAACTTGAGCATCACATGTGCTAAGATGCCTGCCTTTTCTGTGTAATAGCCATCCATTCAGCGTCAGTGAGTCAAAACAACCAAAAAGATGAGGCTTGAAAACCAACTTGAGGCCCTCCCAGGTGGCGCAGTGGGTTAAAGCACAGCACTGAGAAGCTAAAGCCACTTCTGCATGAGTTCGATCCCTGCCTGCCCTGGAGGTGACCCACAGGACTCAGCAAACCTCTCCCGCTCGCTGCTCCCCTCAGCCTGTACTTTGACAATCTGCCTGTTCTGCTCCCCTCTGTCTCTGGTGAATCCTCTCACCGCCCCTGCACCTCTAGACTGTACCTCAGTTCTGTATGCATAAATAAATCAATCTTTAAAAAAAAAAAAAAACAAAAAAACAACGTGAATGCTTCCGTGGACTATAGACTTCTTTCCCAGAAAAAATAATCCTCTTTCACTGTCCCCATTTGCACCTGTTTCTAAGGAATTTCTTAAGATGGAGTGGAGCCTATAGGTGAGCTGTTTGTGGGCTGCTAAACACACACACACACACACACGCGCGCGCGCGCGCGTGTGTGTGTGTGTGTGTGTCTGGTCCAGTGGATGCTTCTGGGCCAGGTACTGCTGAAGATCCTGAGCCACAGTGCTCTGGACCTACCCTCGGGGTACTTGTAGGTGTGGGTGATGTCCTCCCGCTCGTCCCGGCCCACTCTCTTCGTGCTGATCTTCAGCCCCACCACCAGGGAGTGGTTGATGGACTTGTGCATGGACCCATCCGCCTGCTGGATCCAGTCCACCACGTCGGCGTTGACCTCAGCAAAGACAAAGGGTGCGTCGTACTTGGGGGTCAGGTCACCCTCCTTGATGGCCCGAACTGGAACTGGGCCACAGCAGTAGGTCCCTGGTGGGGGTGAGAAGTGGAGGGAGAAATGATGAGCCTGGGGGAGGGGGCACCTCAAACCTTCCATAATTCAACCACCAGTAGCGAAGAGCCTGGGGGCCAGACAGTGTTTTGACTGAGGGACTCCAGTCCAGGGAAGGCAGCACCAAGTGAGAATTAAGGGTGCTGCTGGGGGCCCAGCTTCCTGGGCTCAGATCTCAGCTCAGCCTCTAACTAGCTGTGTGACCTTGGGCAAGCCAGTTCTGTGCTCTAAGCCCCAAGTCTCATGGGGGTGACATTTGTATCTGCCTCATGAAGATTCATGTATTCTGAGTGCTACGGGAGTGAGAAATGAAACAGAAGTGGATCTGAGCCTCTCCCCTGGAAAGGAGGGGCCGAGCTGCAGAGGGTCTTTCACTGTCCATGCTGAGAGCCACGTTCAGTGTCCAGCACAGACGCAAGATGTTTATCTCAGGGTGGTTACAACCACCTGGAGCTGGACAGCAGTTTAAATGCTGAGGGCTGGAGGCTGGGTAGCTCTCTCCTACAGGACACCTTTTGATGGAATGCTTAATGTTAAATTAAAATGCAAATCACAGCTAGCTATCTGATAGAGAAATGCTAATGATATCTGGGGAAGAGACAGCCAGGATAAAAGGCTGTGGCCTGGGGGCATGCATCCCCTCAGGCTTCACCCACAGACCTCAGGAGTCCCCGAACTTGGAGGGAAAGAAACTGCATCTTTATTTCACTAAACTTTGATAGCACCCCCTCGGCTGTGAGAGCAGACAAACTATTGTCTTGGGTGCACTCAGCCTGTCACCCACAGAAATCTGCACCAGAGAACTGGAAATAACATTGATGCTGAGTGCCCCACTAAAACTATGGACTTACTAACTCTACCACCAGAGCGGGCTATATAAAAGGTATCTATTATTACATCTCAATTTGTTTCTTAAAAGTTGTGATAAAAAATAAATAAATAAATAAATAAATAAAAGTTGTGATAAACGGGCCCTCCCTGGTAGTGCAATGTGTTAGGACACAGCACTGCAAACTGGTGGCAGCCACCTCAGTGCAGGTTCGAACCCCTCCCCGGAAGTGACCCACATGGTGCAGCAGACCTCCCCTGACCTGCCCACTGCTCCCCTCAGCAGTGTACTTCACTGCTTTGCTCCCCACTCTGTCTCTGGTGAATCCTCTCACTGCCCCCCCTGCACTTCTGGCTTGTACCCCGGTTCTGTATGCATAAATAAATAAATCTTAAAAGAGAAAACTGATCTTAAAAATAAATCTTGAAAAAAAAAAGTTGTGATAGCTATATTTCAACATAATTGGTTTTCTTTATAACTCCAGGTATTATAGTCAATGCAGTGAAAATATTATTCTGAGAAAGGATCCATTTGGTTTCATCAGATTTTACCTTAGTGCCTTGTCTCTTTCTCTCTCTCTCTCTCACACACACTAAATAATTAAAAATTAATGCAAGCTATATGCTAATGTTAATAATGCTTCTTTTGGAGGGAAGAGAACATAGATGCTTTATGGCTCTTTCCCCTTTCTTCTCTATACTTTATCACCTGGGCTTACTTTTCAAATCATAAAAGAAGCACATTTTAAGATACCAGCACCGACCTCAGGCTTAGATGCCAGCGGCAGCAGCCTCTGCAATGGGCAGGAGCTGGGTTAGACCCCAGCTGTGCCACCCTCCTGTTGAGGGGTTCGGGTAGGTGAGTGCTCTCCAAGACAGCCTGCTCATCCGGGTAACAGGACACCCCCACCCACCTTCGCTCTTCTCCTGGGGCGTGGGGTCGAGGGCCTGCCACCCGTCATACCCCGGCTGCAGGTCCGGCCTGGTCATCCACGACTCCACCCAGCAGTGGAAGTTCCTGTCAGGAAGCAGAGCAGAGCTTGGCTGGTCCACACACCTCGTGTCCTAAAGCTGAGCCCAGCACGCCCCTCTCTCTCCTCTCTGCTCTCCCCACAGACGCTGGCTGACGTGCCTCCTTGTTTCTCGACTGCCCCTTCTTTGCCAGCCAGCGGGATCTCGTTGGTTCAGGCCTCATCACTGCCGCTTACCCCTGCCTCTAATTGCTCCCACGCTGACCTTCTGCTCCAAGGTCATCAGCGTGTCGGTCTCCCACCAACAACCTGCAGCCTCTGGAATCAAGCCCAGGCTCCCTGCCATCCCAATTCCCGACAGCACCTCCTCTCTGACGCTCGTCCATGCTGACTTGCCCTCCTCCTGGCCTTCACTCATGCTGTTTGTCCCACCAGAGAGCCCTCCCCAAGCCGCCACCCCCCTTACACAAACACTTTTCATCTGCAACCCAATTCCAGCGTGACCTCCTCTGAGACGTCTTCCCAGGTTTTCCTCCAAGGGACCCACCCCATTGGGCTCTACCTGGGCCCATGGGTGCCCCCTTACCAGATCATCTCGCTCTTGCCACCCTGGATCTCCCCAGACTCGTTGCGGTAATACTCGATGAGCAGATTGCTGTTCTGGTCGTGGGCGGAGTTGTAGTTGGTCACCACGCGGGTGGGGATACCAAGGCACCGCAGCACTGGAGGCGGGGAGCAGTGGAGGGGGGTCAGCGAGGCCTTGGAGCCCTCTGACCATCTCTGGGCCTCCATATGCTCACCCCAGGGAGAACAGCACCAATCCCAGAGAGAACAGCACCCACTGGTGAGGGTGGTACGTCCCCTCATCTGGACACCCCGCTTGTTGGCAGCCCCTTGCCCACACTGTTCCCCATACATCATAGCTTTCAAAAGATTCTGCAATGCAAAACTGCCATCAACACTCCTCTGCTAACCCACCAGTCACTCCCCGTGGCTCTGGGTCAAGGTCTGACCTCCAGCTGTGGCCCCTGAGCATTTCCTGAACATTTTGCTCTGGCTACACGGCCGCTCCTGCACTCCATGCTCCCAGCAGCCACAGGACATTGGCACATGCTATATGTTGGCCAGGAAGGCCACCCCCACCAGGTTTAGATTGGCCCCTCATTTGCATCCATTGCAAGATGGGTGTTGGGGAGGACATTCATCATATTCGCGATGTACAGCCATAGCAGGGGGTCTTCAAGGAGTCTCTGAGGGGGCTGAGGGATCTGTCTTGTTTTCTACTTGCATAATCCAGTCTAGGCCAGCTACAGATATTCTGTCAAATACAGTGCAGGTATGGGAGAAGAGAAAGGGAGAAGAGAGGAGGGAAGAGATGACAGCTTCAGGGCCAGGTCAGAGGCCAGACCCTGCAGGGCCCAAGGCTAGAATGAGGATTCAGGGTAGCAGAAGGAAGAACAGAAAAGCTCAGGTGGCCTCCCTCCCCGCGGTCGCCTCGGGCGTGTTCCCACAGGACCGTCCCCTCACCTCTCCGGGCCCTGTGACCTCCTCTCTAGCAGGGGTTCAGGGTGAAGGGGCAGGGTTCAGCTGTGTAGGGACACCACTGTAGATGAAGAGGGCCTTGCCTTCACACCAAAGTCCAGTTTACCCAGGGCTTCCAGGCACCAGGGAAGGGGCGGGTGTTGCAGTGTGGTAAAGAGGATACCAGCTGGCACCTGCAGACCGCAGCCAAGGCTGGAAAATGCTGGCACAGGCCGTGGCCGAAAGAGTGGGAGCCTCTGCTAGGACTGTGAGTGCCTTTATGCCTTATCTGGGAAGTAAGTAAAAAGACAAGTGAAACAAAAAGCCTCACTCATGTGACCTATGGGACTCTTGTATTATTTTGAATGAAGTCACGTCGCTCAGATGTCAGGATGGCCAGCGTTGTGACCTTTGTCTTGTGCCCGCCATCAACCAGGGCAAGAGCTTCCCACAAGGCCTTGGATGTTGGCCAGGAGACCAGTGGGCGTAGAGGGAGGAAGAAACAGCTGTGGCCCTCGACCTCTTGCCTAGTTCCTATGCCCTGAGCCCGGGGCAGGGGCCGGACATGCCGGTGGCCTGAGCGAAGACTGGGGCCAGCCCCAGATGGTGGCACCACATGGCAGGCCCCGCGTGGCAGGCTTCACGTGCAGACCAAGGCTTCAGGAGGCCCAGCCCCGCTATCCGAGGAGCACCGGACCACGCCTGGCCAGGGGGCTCGTGGGTGGGGCGGGAGCTCATCATCCTAAGAACAGGAGGCTTGCCACCGCTGGCACACTGGGCTCCTGGCCTGGCCAGGCGCTTGCCAGCTGTGTGACCTTGGGCCAGCCACTTCCCCTCCTTTTGCTTCTGTAGAAGGAGCTAATAATAGCAGCCCTTGAGGATGCTGTGGTGATTCAGAGGCAGTGGGTGTGGGCAGTCTCGTCAGCCCAGGGCCAGGGGTGGAACTGCAAAGTGTGTCAGAGGACTGGAGAAATCCATCAGCTGCTCTCGGCTGACACTGAGGAAAGCTGCAGGATCCAGCTGACGGACCCCAGCTTCCCCCGGAAGCCCCAAGTCCAACCTGAGCCAGACACTGCTCCATGCTGTGTGCTCCTGTGCTCCCAGGACCTAAGAGCTCCCTATGAATTAGGTCAGTCACCGTTGTCTCAATTTTCCAGGTAAGAAAACGGTGGCATGGAGATGCCAGTTTTCTTCCCTTCATCCACCTCGGGGGCTGAAGCCAGCAGTCTGACTCCAGAATCCTTGGCTTCAGCCCTGGCTGGCTCTCCGCAGAAACCCCCGGGCCACCGGGCTCAGACTGCTACTTGTTGGACCGAGTTTTCCCTGGCTCCAAACACACCAGGCCGGGAGGTGGTCGCAAGGCCCTCTCCCTGCCCCCAGCTGCCCCTGGGGAGGGGACTCGTGAGTGCCAGACACTTAGGTGGCCACAGGGTGAAGAAGCCGTGGGCTGGTGCTTGGCCACCCAGGCCACAGATGGTGGAGTTGCTTCAGGAAAACGTGGGTCCTCCCGAAGACACACTTTAGGGCCTTAGACAAAGGGGGATTTCCACAAGGAAGGGGAATTCAGAGGTCACGAGGAAGCGGGCAGGCAGGGCAGAGCAGAGTTAGCGCCGCGGGCCGCCCCTTGCCAGCGTGGAGGACAGAGCTGGGCTCCCGGGACACGCCCGAGGCCTGCGGACTGGCCTTAGGGGCAGAAAAGGTGGACCCCAAGGTCAGCCTCTTAGATTTCCCGAGCCTCATGGGCAGTGGCAGCACAGTGTAAGCATTCGCTGTCTCGCTCATGGAACCGGTGAGCCCTTCACGCCTTAACAACACCTCGGGACAAGGCACTGGTAAGATGCCCCCTCTGTATATAACAGAATGGGGCTCAGAGGGGCTCAGTGACTTACCCAAGGTCTCAGTACTGATAAGGAGCAGAACTGAGATTTGATTTTAGGTTTTAATCCAGACTGTGTTTTTTTTATTATTATTATTATTTTTAAAATGTATTTATTCATGCATGCAGAACTGGGACACAGGCCAGAGATGCGGAGGGTGAGAGGATTCACCAGGGACAGAGCGGGGAGCAGAACAGGCAGATGGACAAAGTACACTGCTGAGGGGAGCAGCGGGCGGGCCAGGAGAGGTCTGCCCCATCGTGTGGGTCAGCTCCGGGGTGGAGGATTGGACCGGCACCAAAGCAGCCGCAGCCAGCCTGCACTGCGGTGCTTTAACCCACTGCGCCACCAGGGAGGGCTCCAGACTCTGTTTTTTAACTGTTAATAGTGCTAACCCCTCCTCAGAAACATCATCAGGCCAGCGAGAATCTTCAGTATTTCCTGGGCCTAACACTTTAGCATTTAAGTGCACCTCTGGGTCCTCCCTGGTGGCACAACGGACCCACATGGCCCGGCAGACCTCTGCTGACCCGCCCGCTGCTCCCCTCAGCAGTGTACTTGTCAGTTGGCCTGTTCTGCTCCCCACTCTGACTCTGGTGAATCCTCTCACCGTCCCTGCACCTCTGGCCTGTACCCCAGTTCTTGTATGCATGAAGAAATAAATCTTAAAATAAATTAAAAAAAGAGATCCAAGTCCTGTGCTGAGCATCTTTCTACCACACCCTGTCTCAGAGTTGGGCCTGTGGACGCCCCCATTTTACAGAAGAGGAAACTGAGGTTCCAAAAGCATTCATCAGTTCAAAGCACAGATCAAGGAAGTGCAAAGGCAGGGATTTTTAACTCAGGTGCTCTTGGCTCCAGAGACTAAATTGTCATCCCTGAGCCCACGCTACCCTCCAGATGACCTCCCTCCCTCCTGGACTGTCTGAGGGGTCGTTGTTGGGAAAAGGACCAGAGAGGGCCAGCCGCTGGCTCCAGGCATGCCAGCGGTACTGGTGGCCGAGCCGGAACCAGAACTGGGGTCTCCGATTCCCACTCTCATTCTCTGTGCCCCTGTCCTAGGGTCCACTTGGAAGCTGCCCCAGCCCACCCCCACGCTAGGGACTGCTCACCTGTGCAGGCCACAGCGGCGAAGACCCAGCACTGGCCATACTTGACACGCTGGCAGCTGTCGCTCTTCCAGCGTCGCAGGATGTCCACGCTGCCGATCCAGAACATGGGGCTCACGCCATCCCCGTAGTTGTTGTCCCAGCGCCCCAGCAGCACGCCCTGGTCATCGTTGCAGTTGACCTGCAGCCAGAAGTGCATCGGGGGTCTGAGCCTGAGGAGAGGGTGGTGGCGGCTGGCCAGAGTGGGTGTGCACTCAGCATGCAGAGAACGAAGGGAGCCCAGGGCCAAAGGAGCCCAGGGCCAAGGGAGCCCAGGGCCAAGGGAGCCCAGGGCCAAGGGAGCCCAGGGCCAAGGGAGCCCAGGGCCAAGGGCCCGGCAGCGTGTAGGAGAAGGTGGGGGCTGGAGCCCGGGCGCAGGGCGTGGGGAGGAGGCGGAGGGGGGCAGCGCTGTGGTACTCGAGAGGCGACTTTGTCCACGGGGTGATGGGGAATGGCACAATGTCATCTGTTTTACAAAGACCCACTCTGGCCCCCACATGACGGCCATCCCCCCCAGACTCCCGTTTCCTGGACGATAAAGCCCAGCCCGCGGCCATGGCCCACGAGGCCCGGCGGTCTGATGCCACCTCTGCAGCCCTCTGGCCTTGCGCCTGCTTCACAGCTCCCTCCTGCTCTACCCCAGCGCCACTGGCTCCCATTGGCTCCTCAAATCCACCAAGGCCACAGGCCGAACTTCTCTGCCTGACGTGTTCTCCTAGTCACTATGTCAACTTGGGGGTCATCACTTGGGGGGGGCGTCCCCCCAACTCCTCACTTAGGCTAGGCCTGCAGTCGGACACCGTCCCACTTGAGCTCGTGCCTCCTAACGTACGACCATGCTCATTCATGTAACTGTGACTAATGTCTGTCTCTTGCTACTCACCCCACCCCTTCCACGGGAACTTAGCTCTGTGATGTTAGAGGCACCACAGCGATCTTACACATGGCTATTTTCCTGAGCACCTGGGCTGGAAGGCACTTGATACATATTTGATGAATGAACAAATAAACGAAAGGCTTTCAAGGACCCCATGACACTATCCCCATTTATATCATTCTCATTTTTCTGAATATAATCTCTCTTAGCTGAGATGTATCTGACTCCTGGGCCCCCCACTGTGTCAGCTAAAGCGAGGTGTATCCTCTTTGATCTCAGGGAAGGAGACGCTTACTGCAGCCTTTGTGGGGTGTCACCAGGGGTGGTCCTGAGGCTCACTCACCATGCCACTCACCACCCGGCCCACGTAGACGGGGTTGCGGCGGCGGGAGCAGTCTCGGCCTGCATTCTTCAGGAACTTGGGGTTGACGTCCAGGAGCATCAGGCAGATGTCCAGGATCCCATCTTCAAACTGCATCCGAGGAAACAAGCGTAAGATAAGGAAGACTAGACATCACCTCCTCCAGGAAGTCTGCCTGGAAGCCCAGCTGGTCCAGATCCTACACAGGGAGGCTCAGGCTGGGCCAGCGGTATCTGTGGTATCTGTGGTGTGGCTTCACCTGACCTCAGAGGGGTGGGGCAGCACATTGATCCACAGGTGAGAGACGGAGGGATGTGTCTGCCTCTGGGGCCTGCCCAGGGGGACCTGGAATCTGGGTGAAAGACCACTGGGGGGATAGGGGGGATCCCAGTCTCCTAGTGTCCCTGCTGTTTTCCTTCCTTTCAGAGTTACCTCTAGGCCAAGTCCCCCACTTCCCCTAAAGCCGACTCACCCTGTAGAGCTGATAAGATCTTCTCCTTCCCTACACAACCTCACTCTGATTGGAAGAGAAGTAAAATGTTTAGATTAAATTTACATTTAATCTCCTGTTGCCACTGGAGCCCAAGTAAAATCACACTCCTCGAGACCTGGGAGGCCCTTATGGCCTGGGAGGACTTTCACCTCCTCTCTCATCCACAGTCTTCTGTTAGGGGGGAAGAAGGCCCTGAGGGAATGCCACAGGTTGTGTGGACTCCAGCCCACTCCTGACCAAAGTCTTCAAGACACTGGAATCTACAAATCCCATCACCATGGAAGGAAGGATTGCTGGGCCCTGAGGGTGATGTTAAGAGCCAGGTTTGGTATAAAAACCAGACATGGGGCCCTCCCTAGTGATGTAACCAGTAAGGATGCAGCATTGCAAGCTAGCTGCAGTTGCTTCAGTGCCAAGTTCTATCCCCTGCCCTGGAGGTGACCCACATGGCGCCGCAGACCTCTCCTGACCCACCCACTGCTCCCCTCAGCAGTGTACTTCATCAGTTGGCCTGTTCTGCTCCCTGCTCTGTCTCTGGTGAAGCGTCTCACTGTCCCTGCACCTCTTGCCTGTACCCCAGTTCTGTATACATAAGTAAATAAATATTTAAAAAAAAAAAAAAACAAAACAGACATGTGGGCCTTGGGGGCTCTTGGTTTTTGGCTTTTGCCGGCTGTCAGCATGCAGCTGGGATTCCAGATTGTGGAATCTCTTTCTCCCTGAAATATGCATTTCCTCATTTCCCCCACTTTTGTAAATAAACCCTTTATGAACCTTTCTGTGTGTGCCTGCAGTTGAATGTTATAAGTCTCTTTAAACACATAAAGCAGAACCAGGTGGGAGAGGGCCCACACTCAGACCACCCATTTCACAGTGGGGTTGCCCTGTAACAACCCTGTCCCAGGCTCGCTGCCTCAGGACCTTTGCACTTGCTATTTCCCATACTTGAAATGTTCTTCTGCCACTCTCTGTACATCTCACACCATACCTTTCAACCCGAACATCACCTTTATCAAAAGCAGGACCCGTTCCTTGTTTCCCATTGGCTCACCCAACCCAACAGGGTCAAAGGCTCTCCCACTAGCCCTCTGCTCCCTAGCTTTGTGGTTTTGCCCCAAACCAGAGCCTCCCGTCCCAGGTCACCCTCCATGCTAGAGAGCAGTCAGCCCTTCACGGTTTACACCTTTCTGCTTGGGGGGGGGGGCCTGGGGGCCAGTCCTATTTCCACCTGCCTGACATTTGCGTCACTGGGGACTTGTCCCACTTCGCCTCTTGGGAGCGCCTCGCATGTAAAGTGCATACAAGCTCCAGCACCCTTCACAGGCAAAACATCACCTTCCTCACCCCCAGCTCCTGCTCACAGAGTTCCCTCTCTAGTGCATTCCTCAGCGACTGAGCTCAGCGTTGCCTACATCAGAAAGCCCCGAGCCCGCCCGGAACTCGGTCATTCCCTTCCTTCCTTTAGGTCTTATCGTCCCGGAGTGTGAGGACATCTAGCAGCTTGGCCAGGGCTATGGCCAGGCCCCGCACAGGCCTAGTCACAGAACAGGAATTCAGGAAACAAAAGGAAGGAATCAGCTTTGTTTTGTTTCCAGGAGAGAACACCGAGCCCTGGGAAATGGAAACCAACTCAGACTTGACTTGCCGTATGTCTCCCAGTCACACTACTTTTCCTTTACACCCAGAGCAAGCCTAGGGCTTGCAGGCAGAGAGCATGGTAATTGTTCTCCCTAGTATGCATATGAGGAAACTGAGGTCAGAGCCCAGATCACATAGGGAGGATGATCCCAGGGGCCCAGAATGGGATTCACTGGACCCAAAGGTAAGCCACGATCCTTGGGTTGTTGGAAGGAGTCGCCAAGTGGACCTCTGCCCAGGAGGCCAGCTCCCCGCCCACCCCCCAACACCCCCAGGACACACACAAGACACCAGGAGGTTGAGGGGCCAGGATGTGGTAGTTCTGCTTTATGAATTTTCTCAGCAATGTCTGAAAAATATTCCTGGAGACTGAATGATAGAGGAAAGGAGCCCTGGCTGGGAGAAGCAGCCCAGGCCGGTGTGCTGGGGGGTCCACAGGAAACAGGTGAGCCATCCAGCAAGCCGGTCCCAGTCTATGCTCTGGAGAGCCCACAGATTTGGGAGAAATCATACATGGCTGCTGCTTACGCCTCTGTCTCCGGCTGGCTTGCTAGAGAGCAGGCCTGACTGAAGCAGCCAGACCAGTGGTTCCCACGGGGTGCTAGTGGGTCAGCTCCCCTCCCTCCGCCCCCCATCATCATCAGCAACCCCCTGCAAATTCTCAGACCCCACCCAGACCTACTGTATCAGAAACTAGCTAGGATCCAGCAATTTTTTTGTTTGGCAACACTTTACTCTGCAAAGTTTTAAAACACTTTTTCAGGGACCCCATGTATATTCAAGTCTGAGAACCACTGAAACAGACACTTGTTTAAAGGCTACTCTGGCCACTTCCCTAGCTCAGCCTGTTCCCCAAGTCTTGCCTATTATTTTGCCCTGTGGCCTTGAGTGTTTCCCTTCTTGCTGGAATACCTGCCAGCCCCACCACTCCTGAAGGGCCTCCCAGTGGTTTTGCTATTCGGAATCCAGGACGGTGAGTAGGGTAACTTTCTGCTCTGTGAAGTCAGGCCTGGCTTGGGCCTGCTCTGAGTCTCTGACAGCTGACAGCTAGGGCTGGGTGACTCTGAGACTTGCTCACACGTCTGCAGCGCTGACTGCCTCAGACGTGGACGGTGGGCCCGAGATGGCTGGAAGGGCGGGCTGTGACCTACCTGCCCAAAGTTCCAAGGTATGCTCTTGATGAACTTGGCCGAGCCCTGGTAGATGAAGCCCTGCTGAGTGAGGACATACTCCCGCCGTTCCTCATCTGAGTCCTGGTATACAGCATCCGCTGCGGGAGAGGGGTGGAAGGAATGACCTCAGTTGGGTCTAGGAAGCCCCCGGGCCCCCAAAGACCAAGCAGCGGGTTGCTTCTGTCTTTAATGGGGAAGAAAACAGATCATGAACAGCCCCACATCAGTGAGATAAGGTGCTGCTGGCATGTGACCATGGATCAGGACCTGCGGAAAATACATGACATACAGTTATTTATTCCATCTCCACGAGGGCACAGAGTGGAAGGGATTTGGAAACCCATTTTACAAATGGGAGACTGAGGCTCAGAAATATTCCACAGATGGGAGAGCAGATGCCAGAACAAGAGATGGAGGAGTCAGGAGTCAGGAATGCCTCGCTGGTGAGACCCCGGGGCTGTCACGTCCTCACCGTGCTCTCTCAGAGGAAAACGTGACTGCAGACCTGAAAGATGCTTTGCAAGATAAAGCTGTGAGTCAGCACGAGAAAAGGGCTTGGTTCCAGAGAATGGCCAGTGCAGCTGACTGGAGGGGGTGCGCTTGGAGGTCGGCAGGGGCCACATTCTGAGCCGAGGCCCAGAGAGATCAGGTGAAGCTCCTGGATCAGGTGAGGCACTGAGTTCCCTGTGGCCACCAAGGACAGAAAAGGGGGCTGAGAAGTTGGCATCAGAAAGGCAGGAGCTCAAGGTCAGACTGGCCTTTCCTGTCCCAACTTCCCAGCAACTGAGGCAGGGAAGGAGCAATCCAGAGCCAGGTCATGACTCTGGTGGTGGCCTCAGGCACTTCTGCCTCCATGGCCCCCTGCCTCCATAAAATAAAAAACACCAAACATATATTTTACTTCTGTTTTGGTAAAATGATGATCTAGTGGCGTTATATAGTAAAACATACTCTCTGATCTAAATGCTCACTTTTTTCCCTCCTGATTTTAAAAGAAATGAAAACATTTTCATGGAGCCTTGAAAGCATGCAGGCCCCAGGCATGAGCCCACTGGCTGAGGGAGTGGGGGTGGGGGCTCCTGGCAGAGCGGGGTCACCGGTGCAGCTGCCCCTCCTGGGCGCTGGGCTGCCAGGCAGAACCCTGGTGAGGAGAGAAAACTGAGTATAGCCACGGGGCTCTGTCCTTCTCTTTGGCTCTGCAACACCGTGAACCTGAAGGTAGTGACCTGTGGCTGTGAAGCCTGTGGTGGAGTGGGGAGAAGGAAAGGGAACGTGTTGCGCTGGGGAGAGTGTCAGCACCTTTGAACTGTACCAGGGGCAGAAGGCTGGACTGCCAAGCCCCTAGCACCAGCCCCCAGCTCCCCGAGAGTCCCAGGGAGGGATGCCACACACAGCCACATCTGCTTCTAGACTTCGCTCTCTGATCCCTGCAGAGCTCGGAGACAGGCTGATCACAGCGTCCCTGAAGCCTGAGCACTTTGGTGCTAGCCCAGCACCCCACCCCCCCTAGAGCCTGACTTCCTGCCTCCACATCACCAGCTCCACTTCCGGCCCCAGGATCCGCCTCGCCTCGGGGGATGTGGATCACCTTAGTCACTGCACTGCTTGGCTGACCGCCACCCTACACCCCAACCCACAAGGCCGGGAGCAGGCAGGTCCTGAGGACTGGACATCCCCACGACCTCACTCCTGGTTTCCTGAATTCTGAAACTCCGTGGTGCTGAGAGGGGGAGACGCCCAGGTTCTGTTCCAGGGGCAGGGCTCCAGCAGACTGCCCGGAATCCAGAGGCCTCTGGCAGGAACCAGAGAGATCACCTTTGTCCCCAGAAACCACTTCAGGTGGCCAGGGCCTAAGAGTGAGGGTGCTCCTTGTGACATGTCCCTCTGGGCTGCTGGGGGTGACTTCAGGTCTAGGGGTGGGGCAGCTGAATAATAAAAGCTGGGTCTCCCAGCTTTTAAAAAGCAGCAGCAGATGCTTGCAGACGGAGGCAGAAGGCGGCTCAAGGGAAACCACGTTGGAGGTTGCTGGCTGCTGTGAGCCTGCTGATGTTTGGCAGACAGATGCCCTGAAGCCCAGTGTTATCTCCTGCACATATACCTGAATCTGAGGCTCACCAGCTCTCCAAGATGGGGGGTGCTCCCCAAGGAAGGAAGCTGGGGGTGGAGCGTGGCTTTTTGTCCTGGGGGCTTTTATAAAGTGGCTGTTCAATGAAAAAGGCCAACATTTATAAAAGAGAAATTAAAAAAATATTTCTGCCCAAATATGCTATAAAATAGCCTGAAATGGAGAAGAAATTGAGTGTTTTAACTTAAAAAATTAATGCAAGAAGCTGGAGAGGCCAGAACCTGGGGCGGGTCAGAACCCAGGCTGCTGTCAGCGAAAGGCCTCTCTCCTTGCCCTGTGGAGGAAGGAAGGTGACAGATGTCTGCCAGACTGTGTTGCTAGTTAGATGGGGAAACTGAGGCTTGTGCAGGGTGTGGCAGTCCTCGCCTCCTCCCTGCTGCTTGAGTCAGCCTCAGGGCTTCCAAGTTCTCCTGCCTGCTTTTGCCTAGCCCTTAGAGAAGGAGCTGCCCAAGCCACTTCATCTCTCTGAGTGTTTCCTGTCCGAAAGGCGAGCCGTGACATCACCCGCTTGGGACTGTGGAGAGGAATAAACGCGGTGGTGTTTAGGTAGCCAAACTACTCCTGCCCAGCTCTCCTGGCCACCAGCACCCCTACCTCCCTCAGTTTCCCCTTTACATGCTGATATTTAAACCGGGAGTGGAGCCAGGATAGCTGCAGGCCTCAGCTGGGTGCCGCATTCCTGCACGGGGCTCCTGAAGCCTGGACACCTTCCCAGCCAGCTCACAGTGCCACAGGAACATGGGGACCTCAGACATGGGGGGAGTGCCCTCGGCGGTGGCGTGGCATTCTGTTTCCACAAGCCGTGTCCCCATCTGAGCACGGGATAACAAGAGCACTCACGTCAAGGATTTTGCAAGGCCGGAGCACGGAGCTGGCATGAGGACGGCCTCCCTCAGTCCCCTTTGCTCTCTCCTCCCATCCCCCAGCCCTCAGAGCCCTCCACGGGGCCCTGCCCATCACCACTCCCTCTGGGGATGGAGTGTGTCTCACCTGGGCACCAGGAATTGAAGAGCAGGGTGAAGTTGCCAAGCGTGAAGCTGGAGCCCTGGTAGCCGGTGGAGGCCTCCATGGTGAGGCGGTACAGGCCAATGGGGGCATCGGCCGGGGTGCTGAGCAGCAGCGAGAGGGTATTGTCCTGCTGGTCCGCCACCGTGGCTGTCCAGGCACCCTCCACCCTAGTGTCGGACAGTGAGAATCGGGCCTTGGTCCCGGCTTCCTTGCTGGGGGCTGGGCCTGCAAAGGCAGAAAGCAGGGCTGTGAGGCTAGGTGGGCCGGGAGGGGGGTCCAGGCTGGCAGGGCCTGGCACACGGGGGGCCCCCAGGGCCTCGTGGTGTCTGTCCCACTGCTGTGGATGGCGAGACTTTGGGCAGACCATCCAGCTCACCCCTGAGTGTGTGGACACGGGCAGGAATTCAGAGGAGGTGCCAAGGGACCTCCATTGCTGCCTAAGTCTTCACAGCTAGCATGGTGCTTTCCCTTTCAGAGCATGAAGGTGAGTCTGCACAGGGCTGGACTCTGGTTCTCTGATGTCCCTGGGCCCTGTCTGAGAGCCCGCTGCTCTGGGCGACAGGGCCATGGGTGGGCATGGCCTAGAAGTGCTTGCCTCTCAATGCCCCGCCAGCTTCTGGCTTGCATCCGCACAGGCCACTCTGAGGAGCTGGTGGGAGCCAGTCTTCACCACCTTATAGCCATCCTCCGACACCTATCCAGTACCTGGCCCCTCCTACTTCCCAAGCCCCTTGCAGACTCCAGAGGAAGGGTTTCCAGGAGGACGCCCTGGGGTCTGCAGCAAACCAGCCTCTGAGCCCCAGTGCCCCCAAGTGCTCCCATGGGGAGTTGGGGCGGGGGGGATCTCAGGGATGGATGAGGCTGGGTGAGGGTCAGGCTGCTTGGAGGGGAGGGCCTCGCCCAGGCAGGCAGGTCTGAGTCATGGAAGGGTGAGGGGCTGGCCACACTCTGGACTTGAGCAACAGAGAGGAGAAACAGAATCTTCTCTTTGCAGCTGGGTGGCTGCCCAGGAGAGTTTATTTTTATTCTTTCATCTCCTCCCTGCTGCTCTGCCCACCCACTGCTGACACTAAGGGGGCCTGCTCACTGGGGCTCCCTCCCAGCACCCAGCCCCACTTCCCCACCTCCAGCCCCACCTACACCCAGGTCCAAATATAACCATGAACTGACAGGCATGACACAGGCCTTCTGCTGTTCAGACGCCAGGAGCCGACCATAAGCCTTTAAGTGCTGATCACTAGAGTTGGCATCAGAGAGAGAAATCAGGCAGCATTGGCACCTACCCCCACCACAGCACTCTGGATCTAAGTGCTGTGTGACCTGGGTTCAGTCAGAAGGCCTCTGATTGGCAATCACCTCATCAAAGAAGAAAATAACTTGGAAGGTCTAGTCCCCAAGTCAGAAGCTGGCTTTGTGATGTTGGGCAAGCTATTTAGCTTCTCTGGGCCTCAGTTTCCTCCTCTGTAAAATGTGACCGATTGTAGTAGCTGCTCATGAAGTCACTATGAGACTATGAAGCGTATCGCAAGGTGCCTGGCATGTAGTAAGTGCTCAATAAACAGAAAGTAGCGTCTGCTATTGTCACTACCAGCTCCTAGCAGTGTTTAGGATTTAGTCAGTCACAGAAACCATTGAAAACACACACGAGCACATCATTACACAGTCAGTGTGAGCATGCTTCAGTGTCTCAAAAAGAAACCATTAACAATCAGAATTCTGGGCCCTTCCTGGTGGTGCAATGGTTAGATAGCAGTGCTGCAAGCTGGCTGCAGCCGCTTCAGTGCGAGTTCGATCCCTGCCCGGGAGGTGATCCACATGGCGCGGCAGACCTCTCCTGACCCGCCCGCTGCTCCCCTCAGCAGTGTACTTCGTCGATCTGCCTGTTCTGCTCCCCGCTCTGTCTCTGGTGAATCCTCTCACTGCCCCTGCACCTCTGGCCTATACCCGAGTTCTGTATGAATAAATAAATAAATAAATCTTTTTTTAAAAAAAGAATTCTCTGCAAATACCAGATTTTGAGGGCTGGAGTAGAATGTGGAGACTGTCTGGTTCAGTTGAGCCACTTTACAGATGAGGAAACTGAGGCTGAGAGGGCTAAGTCAGGGTGACCTGATATCTCAGTTTGCCCAGTTCAGTTCCAGTTCAAGCCCACGGTTCTGGCACAATTATTAATGGTGCCTCTTCATTCTCGGAAATGTCCTTGTTTGGATGATCAATTCTCTGGTCACCTTGGTAATGGCCTGGACCAGGTCCCACAGCCACTGTCACTGTTGACAGTCTACCCTTGCGGCTGGTCAGGAAACACAGTGCCCTTTCTTGCTTGCTCAACTGTGTGTGCACACAAGCACACACAAACCCCTTTCTTCCAAGGACCCTGGAGGGGGCTGACGACACGTTGTCCTCATAGTCCCACCACTGCTCATGGAAGTTGCAATTCCACGGGGTCTTTTTTGTGGGGCCAGAGATGCCACATGGCCCACTCTGGGCATAATGACCCTGGAGACCTGAGGAGTCCTGGCCACAATCCCAGACCATATGGCAAGGGGCTGGGGTGGGGTGTGAGGGAACCTTCCAGAGTAAAGCCCTCTATTCACCTCATAAGGGTTCTTTTCACTGCTTCAGGGTGACCTCACTCCCAGCCCATTCACCCCCAGGCCCTGGCTCCCCTTTGGAGGAAAGCAGGGCTTCCCTGTAACAAGGAGGGTGTTTGTCTACTGTGGTCTGAACCCCATAAGAGAGCCTGTAAGATCTCCAAATGTTTGGGTGAATATGTAGCCTTTAAGTGTATATGGAGTCTGACCATACATTCTACTTGCTGAGTGACCCTGACCAACTCTTTCACCTCTCTGGGCCTCAGTTTCCCTAAAAAAATGATATAGGATCATCACAGCTAGAATGCTAGAATGTTCCAACATAGCAGCAGGTTGCTCAGTCACACCTGGGGCTGGATGCTAACTTGAGGGGTGAGGCCTGCTTCCTGGTATTGTCTGTCGGTGGACTTTCCCAGCCCCTGAGAGGGTCTTGTCACCCAGACAGGGGAGCTGAGTGTACCCAGAGATACAGCCCTGGGCCGTGGCTGCTCACAGGGGCTGTGGAAGCGTGCAGAGCAAGTTAGCTGTGGCTTGAGGTGAGTCTAGAGACTGGAGAACAGAGCTTTGTTATCGGGGTACAAAGGTCAATTGGTTCTACTTCCTCAGTCCTGAACTTGGAGCTAATTACCGACTGCCAGCCTGTCTAGACAAATGGAGACGATGGAGAAAGACAGGGAACACCTGGAGAGTAAAAGAAAAGAGAAACTGAGGAAGCACAGGCCACCAAGCCAGAAGCTCCTGCTCCATTCCCGCCACACGGACAGAACCCAGGCCTGGCAGGCCTTGTGGGGAATTCACTGCTGTCGGATCCCGGCACCCCAAGCCCTAAAGGTGGGAGGGGTTTGGATTCTGCTTTGGCGCTAACTCACTGTGTGATCTGGGCAAGTCCCTTGACTTTTCTGAGCCTCACTGTTTCCATCTGTGGAAGGGGGCGGGGGGGGGCATGCAGCTTCCCTGCCAGGAGGGCTCAGGACAATGACGCATACAGAAGGTGCTCCATGGTGACTGCCACAGTCCCATGCCTGACTCCCCAGGACACTATAACGCGCCCTCAATTGCATGTGCTCATCCACTTTACAGGTGGGAAAAGCAGGCAAGAAAGATCAAAGACTTGGGGGAGGCCTTTCAGATCTATTGGAAGGGGCCTCATGGGTGCTGGGTGTGTACGTGGGGGTGCCCCTGGGTAGTGGGCGAGTCTCTGTTAGGAGGGGTGGAGGGGGGATTGAGGGATGGAAGGGATATCATGCCCAGTCTGCAGGTGCCTCGATAAGCCTTATCCAGCAGCCTCCAGGTAAATGTGGCCTCAGCCAGGGGTACAGATTCTTGCCCGCTGCTCTCTGCCCTCAGAGACTTCAGAAAGAACGGGTCTTTCTCACCCATGGGCACAGTCCTAGGTGGCCCCTCACTGACCTTGAGGGAGTGGTTCCCACCAGAAAGCAAAGCAACAGATTAGGCATTCAAGACCACTTCCCCGGGAACGGCACACCAAGAATGGGCACTGGGCATCTGGGGTGCCCAGAGCCTCGGCATCTCCTTGCCCGTCACTCGGTCCCCTGGAGCAAAACTCCAATAGCACTAACATCTCCAGGCTGCTCCCGCGTGTCACGCCCCTCTCACGTAGCACCTCCCACCCTGAGAGCTTTTCACCTGCTGAAACTCAGCCTCAGAGGGGCTGAGTATAAGGAGGCCAGAGTGACTCCATCTTGCATGAACACCATCTGAGGCCTTCGACCGGCAATTTCCCTTCCCTGCGAGGACAGCAGGTGGTGTCCCCATTGCTGCAGCTGTGTTACGTGTGCTCATGAGTCACACAAGCCCCGCCAGGCTTAGCAGAACAAAGGTGCATGTGGAGCTGTCCCCCTCACGGGAGGATGATTGCGTGTCCTAACAGGCAGAAGACCCCTGCCAGCCTGGGAGCTGTGGGTCCTGCCTTCACCTCAAGACCTGTCCGTTGGCTTCAGCATGGAGGACACTTATATACAGGTCGCCCTTCACAAACTTTAAGTGTGATTAACAGACAGGGCTGCTTTATTCTTGGGACTCAAATCACCTTCTCTCAGTTTGTGGGGGGGCTTGAGCAACCGCTCCAGGTCACACAGCAGGGAGGCATCCCCATGGGTACCAGACCCAGGCTGCCCTGTCCACCCAACAGCCTGAGGCAGCTTCCTGAGGTTTGGAGAAGGAACTCCAGGAGCACAAAACTGCCCATTCAGAAAAGCCAGCTGTGTTCTCTCTCCCATCCAGGTGGGATTTGGGCCTGATCCCAGAGGCCTGGTCTGCTTGCCTGGATTTTGGGAAGTGCTGGAAAGTTGTTTTGATGTGGGGAAAGAGCAGGTGAGGAATTTGATGGGCCTCAGTAGTAGGAAACTGATCCCCAGCCCTGGTGATAAGGAACCCAGAAGCAGCCATTTTACAAGACTGGGTGACAAAGCCAGGCATCTCTTCACCTATATTGGGTCTCAGTTCTCACATCTGTAAAATGGACCCATGGCTGCTTGGAATTTCCCAGGGAGCCAAAGGGAATAGAGTCATCTTTCTGTCAGAGAACAAAGACATCACACAACAGGGCAGAGTAGGTGGCAGCGAGGGTACTCACCTGTCACCGCACAGAAGGTGAGGCGGTCCGCACTGGCCTCGTAGCCCCGGCCCTCGAAGTACAGCGTCAGCCAGAAGGGCTGGCCCCGGCGCACCACCAGCCTCTCCCGGCACAGGTCGGCCGTGTGGTGGTCACGGCCATTGGCCTCCAGCTCCAGGTCACATCGCTCCAGAATCAGCTCTAGGAGACAGCAGGAGGGACATGAGCTGAGATGGTATAACTCCTCCGGCGATGGCCACACACCTGCCACCTCTGGATGTCGGGTCCCTCCTCCTGGGGTAAGTAGCCTCTTTGAGATAAAGGCAACTGACACCTTCTCCCGAACCTGTCACCAGCCCCATTACCCAGGGGCTGGTGGGGCCCAGATCTCCCTAACTCTTAATCACCAGGTCGTGCCCACTGTGGCATCCTGAGAAAAGGCTCTGCCACCTCCCAGTCATGTGACCTCAGACAACCCAACAAAATGGGCCTCAGTTTCCCCATCTGTCTACAGGTGCAGATAGCACGCTCCATCTCCCTGGGCTGTTGTGAGTGCCTGGACCAGAAGAAGAGCTTTATAAGCAAGCGATTCTCTCATCCCTGGAGGGTGCTTTTGCTACAAAGAGGAGTATTTGGTTTAGGTCAGTTACGCAGGCTTTACCTTTTAGGTTCATTTTTTTTCAGGAAATACAGAGCACTAAGAAACATGTTAGACCCAGAACCAGGATGCAGGCAAAATGATTCATGCTCTGGGAAACTTCTAGGCAAAGATCTGGTCTCTTTCTCTCTCTCTTTTTTTAAACATATGATTTATCTTTATTAAAACATCGTTAGAAGATGGCAAAGAAGCCCGTTAATATTTTCACATTTTGAAGTGGCATTTATGGTTGAGAAATACTGTATTTTTTTTTTATTTTATAACAGTTTATTTTTACATCATTTTGTACATTTTTTTTTCCATCTCAATTGTAATCCCCGTGGGTTTCCCATCACCAAGTCACCTGTGTGCCATCACCATAATCCCGTGCACTTCCCTCTCCACCTTCACCCCCCCCCATTTTTTATCCCATTCCCCATTCCACCCCCACAGAATGTCTCTGGTCTATGGTTGTTCATTATTTTTGTTATTTTCTCGCTTGGTCCATTATACTCCTGCTATGAGCGAAACCATCTGGTATTTTTCTTTTTCTTTCTGGCTTATCTCACTAAGCATGATCTTTTCCAGCTCCATCCAAGTTGCTGCAAAAGACATGTGTTTCTCTTTTTTGTTTGCTGAGTAATATTCCATTGTATATATGAACCACATCTTTTTAATCCAGTCATCTACTTTTGGGCATTTGGGCTGCCTTCCATGTTTGAGAAATACTGTAATTTTAAAAAAAGATTTATTTATTTATGCAAACAGAACTGGGGTACAGGCCAGAGGTGCAGGGGCAGTGAGAAGCTTGGGGAGCAGACTAACAAAGTACACTGCTGAGGGGAGCAGCAGGGGAGACAGGAGAGGTCTGCTGTACCATGTGGGTCACCTCTGGGGCTGGGGATCGAACTCAGGCTAAGGCAGCTGCAGCCAGCTCACAGTGCTGTGTTTTAACCCATGGTGCCGCCAGGGAGGACCCAAAATACTGTAATTTTTAATAACTATCCAAAATAAGTCAAGGACAAATCTAAATGAAAAGCATATAAACTATGTAAAAAATAAATTTTCCAAATATTCAGGCATCCAAGGAATTACCTAGTTTCATGAAAAGTTATGAGTTACAGTTAATATACTACCACTGTATGGGTCTGTTTTCTTAAACTAATTAAATAAGTGAGAAATCAAAATAAAAAAAAATTGAAGGGAGAATCTATTAAGAGGAACTTAAGAGACAATCCATCCCATTATTTGAATATTGAATTTCAAACACTATTTGAAAAATTATTGCTCTTACTGTACGAGAGTAATTTGAACGCTGATGGAATAATGGTGATATTAAAGAATTGTGGCTAATTTGCTTATTTGTAAGAAGAATCCTTATCCTGTATACAAATGAAATAATGTGACAGGTCTGAAATTTGCTTTCAAATAAGAGTTGAGGGGACAGGAATAACCATGGATTGGCAGTGGTTGAGATTAGGTGGCAACAGGCATTTATGAAGCATTGCATTCTCCCTAGTAAGAGGTTTTCAAAATCACAGGGGTTTTAGAACCTTTGGAACCTGATTTCGATTCTTCTGCAGTGCTGTGTGATTGTGACTAGGTGTCTCCCCCTCTCTGTGCCTCCAGGCTGCTGCAAGGACTATAAGATGCTGTTGGTCTTTTCTCTTTAGCTTAGGGCAGGAACTTGATACAGAAAAGTTCTCTGCATATTTCAGAAGGAGCTGTCTCTCCAGAGGGGCAGGGGTAGGAGCCACCAGTGGGGTCAGAGAGAAACAAACCTAATGAGACATGGCAACCTCAGACTGACCTTGCTGTGCTGGCAGAGGGGCAGGCAGACTCAGAGTTGTGGGGACCCTTGGAGGGGACACAGTCCACTGAAACTCAAAGGTGTGCATTTCCACAGAGTCACCCAATTTCTTTCACACCTGCCTGGGTGTCCTTTGGGGACCACACCCTCTTCACTGTCATTGATGTCAATTGGTGAGGCTGACCCCGCCCCCTCGTTTGGCCATATTTCCAGAGCCAGCCAGTCAGAGCAGCCTGTGGCCCAGCTTACAGTGATTGGCTCAAGGATGAACAGGCCATCGTGCCTCCCCGGCAAAGTCCACAGTGCTCCCACTGGCCTCACGGCCCTCTCACTTGGGGAGCACTCCCTCCCGGGTCTCTGCTGCCCTGCAAACCAAGTGAGAGCCCAGTGACTGCCAAAGGCTTTTCCCTGCATGAACCCAACGTCGGCTCACAGGACTACTCCGTTCACACAGGTCCCTTGCTCCCTCTGCTTTGCAGAGGGGCCACCACGAGGTGGCCCCAGGTCTCAGGGCCAACAATGGTCTCTGGATGTGTTTCCAGGGTTCTGGCACCTGCCCCGTCACCACATCACTGTCACTCACCCAGAGTTTGGTCTCCATCTCCTTCACCCCTCCTGTCCCCTTTCCTCCCATGCCCTGTGTTGTTCTGAGCCTGAGAGATCTGAACTCTGGCGATCTCAATGGGAGAGACCCACACTGAACTTCCCGATGGCTACGGGGATGAAGAAATATATTTTGGGAAGTTTCCATCCCAGAAGACTTACAGCACTGGCGTCATGTGGTGGCAGCCAGCCCTGAACTGGATTTCAATTCCACTTGCTGAAGACCTGGGCCCAGAGAGAGACAGAAGTACCCCAGATCCCACAGCGGGTGCATCCACGGTCCCGCATGCTCATCCCTGCTCCCAGTCCCGCTCGGCAGTGCCTCTTCCCACACCTCCTTTCCGGGGCTGCAGTGACTATAGGCCAGCTCCCAGAGTCAGCCAGGTTGCTACTATATTCGGTAGCATGAACGCAGGGACATCTTTCATTGTAGGAATCCCCTCCCTTGGTCCTAGGACAGCACTGGACAGGACAGCATTAGTCCTAGGACTGTGTGCGTGTGTGTAGGGGCGGCTAGGACATTAATTGAGCCCCGTCTCTGCCTCCTCTCAGCCCTCTCACATGGCTGCTTTATAAGAAGGAAACTGAAACTCAACAAGTGGCTCAGCCAATTAAGGCTGCAGAACTTAAGGGCAGGAAGCACACTTGAGCACATGCCTGTCCCCAGCCTACTTCCCCAGAGGGTGCTGGAAGCTCATCTCTGTCTCCAGGGGCCTCGAAGGCAGTCAGCTGGCTAGCACACACGTACCTCCTCCCAGCTGGCAGGGGCTCATGATCAAAGCTAAGAGCTCTGAGGCCAGGCCAGCACTCCCTGCTTGGCATCTTGCCACCTGGCACCCAGTCCCCACTCACTGACTGGTGAGTGACAAGTGACACTGCTGGGACAGTGCTTTAGTTTGCCACAGGCCTCATCCGATCCAGGGAGGTAGGGGTTAATGACTATCCTCTGTGGGAAACTGAAATCCCGGAGCCAGCAAGCGGAGCCTGGCACCTTTCACCCAGTCCAAACCTCCTGTTGCTCTCGAAATCTGAACTTAAGAATTGAGCCCCAGTCGGGTCCAGACGCCACTGCACCATCTGGCCAGAGACTAGGGAGGGATGACAGGCCTGGGTCCCTGGCCGGCGGCGGCGACGCTGACCCTGATACTCACCCTCAGCCATGGTCAGAGTGGCGGGCTGTCCTCAACTGTGCAGGACCCTCCGAGAGAGCGAGCGCGACGGCTGGCCGAGCACAGCAGGGACTGAGAGCGGAGTGAATTTATAGCGGCTTTTGGGGCGGGGCCGCGCGAAAGGCGGGGACCTGGTGAGGCCACCGTTGCCTGCTCTGGCCACCCCCGCAGCAGCGGCCAGCAGCCGCCTAGGCGCACCCAGGGCAGGAGGTGGAGGGACCGGCAGCGGCAGGGCGCCCCCTGGGGGGTAGAGAAGGGAGCACCTGGGAGCGTGAGCCCTGGTGCTGGGGCAGGAGGCGGCTCCCAGGACCCAACCTACCTGGGCTCAGAGCAGACCTTGGAGCACAGAGGCACGTCGGCCCGCAGACACCCTTTGGTACAGGCGCAGCAGGACACACAGGCACACCTGAGTGCACAGACATGGCCCCGCAGTGAGCTCAGGCCCGGGGCGCAGGACACACACAGGTACAGATAGGCAGGGAGCAGACCGGCAGCAGCCAGAGACGCAGGGAGGTGGACGCTGGGCCCCAGGGCCACGGGCCCCAAATCAGACGAAAATCACGGAGAAAGACCCAGCCAGGCAAACGCGGCCAGGCGCGCACCGAGAGCCACACGCAGCCTCGGGCACAGAAACAATCTTATGTCGGGACGCTCCCGCTCACAATCACCAACACCCATCATCTGCGGACACCCAGACACACGAAGATGCAGGAGCCGGACACAGAAGCAGACGTGGCCCCAGGGACAGCTATGCAGATATACGGACAAAGATCCGCCCGCCCCATCTCTTACTGTTGCAAAACCCAGACAACCTGCCGCCCATCACGCCCTCATACTGTGTAATCATCTACCAGTTTACCTGTTCACCCATCACCCTCTCCCCTCCGTACCACCCCTCTTCCCCTCCTTCCCATTTTCCCACCCCCCATCCTCTCTGCCCTGCTAAGTGCTGGAAGGGAGCAGAGTCACCTTCCAGGAACTCAGCCTCTAAACCCCTCACACCTAGCGTGATGGTTGACTGGGTTTTGCAACAGTAAGAGATGCGGCTTGTGGATCTTTGTCTGTATATCCACACGTCCTCATGTCCGTATATCCACCCCACTCCCGTTAGCCTCCTGTCCTCCTCTGCTTCGTACTCACATGTGCCCTGAGCAGAGAGGGCTCCTGGAGAGACAGAGGCCTGTGGGCCTCCCTCGGTCCTTTTTTCCAGAATAAGCTCCATAAGTGCTGAAAAATTTGTGTTACAAAACCGGCCCCAGCCCCAGAGCAGGCATAACCCATGTGGCCTCCGTGAGTGTCTGTCCCTGGGTCAAGTGGGTCCTAGCTGGGGTCTTAGGGACGAAGCTCGGGCGGAGTGTTGGGCTCTGCTGACCTGGGGGGCTGGGCCCTGCCCCTGAACCTGGCCAGAGCTCAAGAAAGGAACAGGTAAGACAATGCCCATCAGGAAGCTGGGGTTCAAGTTCCCACCCTGCTCCCGACCAGCTGTGTGGCCACAGATAGGTATTTGGGCCTTCAGCCCTTAGTGTCCCCCTCAGCAAAGTGGGGGTGCGAACCCCTCCCTCACATGCTGGAGTGAGACTCAGCCACATGGCTGGGGGTGGGGGGGGGTTGCACCAGGACAGTGCACAATCCAGTGAGCAGAGAGTTGGGGGAGCAGAACTGTCAAGTGCCCTGGAAGGACAGAGACCTCCAGGAAACCGGAGGCCAAGACGAGGCTTTGCAGAAGGAGGCTGCAGGTCATCTCTTCTTATTAGTGTCAGCCTTGCCCAAGTGAAAGGATGAATTTTGCCTTGGCCCATTCATTTCCATTTGCCATACTCTTCACTTCTGGGCACTAATTTTCCTTTATCACCACCACCTGGGAGCTCTCTGGAGGCCAGAAATTAACCCAAGTCCTTGAAGAATACTGAGTAGGTTGTGCCTGGCACTGGCTGCCTCCTCCTAGGTCCCCTTCCCCTTTCCAGAGAGCTGTGGCTGCCTGAATGAGGTGGTACCTTCAGTAACCCCAGCACAAGGCCACTGGGGCCAGACTGGCTTTGGGAAGTGGCAGGTAGAGTCTAGAGACTGGGCTGGGCCCAGAGGCTGATTCTAGGCCCAGTGATCAGGGGCTCCTGCTCATTTCTGCCTCCATTTCCCCATCTGTTCAGAGAGGCTGCGAAACTCTGCTTTGCCTACTTTATTAGAGTAACTTCATTGCACAAGTAAGGACCCATCGTCCATTTTACTGAGGGGACAATTGTAGCTTAGAGAGAGTGGTGATAGGCGCATGGTCCCTAGACAGTGCAAGTTGGGGCCCTTCATTATCCCGTGAAGGGGAGATGCTGTGCAAGGGGGAGCGCATTCTTGGCTGGGTGACCTTGGGCAAGTTACTAGGCCTCTCTGAGCCTCAGTTTCCTCTTCCATAAATGGGTACAGTAAGTCACCCTCTCTAGGGAGTAGAGACAGTTATGTGCCTGCTCCGTGCCATGTACACAGGAAGTACTCAATAAATGTCACTTGAAACCTTTTTATGATGACATTATTAAGAGTCAGGACTCCCTGTGCCCCACAAAGTGGCGGCTCCTACGAAATGGCGAAGCAGGTTGCGGACAGTGTGGAACATCTGAGGGTGCTGGGAAGAGCTCCTGCCTCCCAAGTAAGTCTCGTGCCGGGGTCACTGGCTGCTGCCGAAATCCCACATTAGAGAGATCAGTCCTCTGCTTCCCTGTGGATTTCTAGGCCTTTTACTACCAGGTAGAAATAAAAGTGAAGCTTTAGAACTTTTGAGTTACTCTTTGCCAGCCAGCTATCCCATTTGGATCTCGTAATGTGCCTTTGTCTCTAGTTAAAAGGGCAACAGGAGTCAGAGAGGTGAAGTGACTTGCCCAGGGTCACACAGGCAGGACGTAGAAGCAGGGAACCTGGGGTCAGGTTAAAAGCCTGTGCTGTTTTTCTCATGGTTTAGAGACCAGTCCTGTCTGCCCCTCACAGGTGTGTCTTCAGAGACCTGGGTCCGGCCAGGCCTTTAGCTTCTGTGTGAGAATCTAGCAATATCAGTAATAAGCATGTTCTGCCTCTTCCAAATGCCATGGCCTGAGGGAAATCACTTCAGCTCTCTGACCCTTCTTTGACATAAAGTGTAAGGCTGGGCCCAGCAGCATCAGAACAGGGAAGACTTCGAGGACAATAATCCATGATTCTACCTCATGGTCTGGTACACTGTGAAAGTCAATAAATGTTTGTGGCATGAAGGAAGGAGGAATGACATTGAGAGAACTGAAGGGCGAATAGAGCAAGGCAGGAAAAGGAGGAAGGATCAGAGAGGTTGAGGAAATTGCATGTGGTCACACAGCCAACTGGGCTCCTAAGCCCTAGCTGGGCTTGGCCACTCCTCAAGGACAAGGGACCCCCCAGGCCAAAGATGACTCTGGATGGCTGAGCTGGGAGGAGGAGGGAGGGGTGGCAATGGGTGGGAAAGAGCAGGAGCTTTTCTACCCACTGGTGACTAACGGTGGATGAGCAGTGTCTGGAGATGAGGGAGCCCTGGGAGGGGCCAGACTCCCATGAGGTGGGATGGGATGAGGTAGGGGTGTTAGGACAGGGAACTTTGGGAAAATGTCAAGGGGTAGGCGTGACCTTTCACGCCTCTTCAGAGAGGCAGGATTTGGGTGACTTAAGCGCTGGGAGCAGGGAGAGGGCACCTGGTTGGAAAGTCCCTCTCAATGTGCCCATTTTGCAGATGGAAAAACTGACCTGCTCATGGTGTCCTCAGCATGGTGTCCTCATACCTCTGCCCTTCCACCAGCCCCTGGAGATGGTTCTCAGGTTCAGCAATGCCTCTTACGCTTTGTGAACCACATGTACCTCAGTTCACCTCTCGATAACGCTTCAGTTTCTGTTCTTGTAAACGCAGAAATGACAAGGTAGCTTCACAGTGGGCTGGTATAAAGATGAGAGGAGCCATATGGTCAGTGGGAGCCTTCTGAGCAGACTGAACTGGTCCCTCCCCTGCTGAAGTCCCTCAGAAGGAAGTCTGAGATCTTTGAGCTGACATTCAAAGTTGGTCTCACCTAATTTGTCCCCTGACTGCATCTCCACATTTGTGCTCTCTAGGCCTTCTCAGAAACCCCACAAGTCCCCAAATGTACCCTGCCATTGTCTACCCTTTGTTCAAGCTGTGCTCTCTACCTGCAATTCTCTCGCCTCTTCATCGATGAACATTTTGCCCAAAGACCAGACACTTCTTTCCGGAAGCACCCAGAACAGGACCTCCCTTTCCTTCTATACAGCACCCACAGCACACAGTAACAGGCTGTTGTATAAGGGCCAGGGCATGTGCTTCTCAGTCTTGCTGGCCCCTGGTTCTTAAATGTTTGTTAAATGAATAAATGACCTGCAGCATAGAGAAAGAGAAAGACAGATACTAGGACACAGGGAGAGAAAGACAGCGAGAGAGAAAGAAAGAGAGAGAGAGGTTCTGGAGTTTAGAGTTTGGTTGGCAGGACACAGAGTACCAGTTGTCAGTGGCATTTACTAGGATTTGTAAGTACCGGTTACTAGTTGCCTGTGACAGGCCAGGACATCGTGCTGGGCCCTCTCTCAAGTCTTGCTGCTTCCACTGGAAATGAAAAGTCTCGGCTCAAGCTTAATCTCCAATCATATCTCTTTCAATCCCCGGAGTGGGAAACTCACTGTTAAGCCTTAGAGATGGCAAACCACTTTCCCAGTCCACACAGAAAGTTCGGGCAGTCAGCGTGGCCTCAGATACCATAGAAGTACTGGCTCTTCACCTATCTCCTTACATTTGAACCTGCAGAAAGCTTCTTTTAGTTAGGGTGCAATGGGGCATTGCTTTGTAATGGGGAGTCAGGAACACATGAGACTTGCAGGGTGGCATCAGGGTGGCATCAGTTGGCTCCACACCACCAGCCTTGGATTCTGCCCCCTCCCACCCCCTCACTGGCTGCATAGCCTCAAGTCTCAATCTATAAAAAAGGACTCAAAGCCCCAGGCCACTGGGCTCAGAGACAGAGATCCAGAGAGGAAGTGAAAGGATCTCCCCAAGGAAAACAAGTTAACATTGTTATC